CAAATGGGTAAGAGCGCACAAATTATAAAAAGTAAAGGAAGGAACAAGAAAGGAAATACAAAAGGAAACAAGATAACTAAGCAAAATTTTGTAGTTTTTTTCGTGACAGGAACGTTATCTTAATTTATTGTTGAAAGCTTTGAGGAACTAGCAACTTTAGACATGATCTTTAGTTAAAAAGGATAATAGGGTTAAATTGAATTAGAAAAAAAAATTTTTTTTTTTAATGAGAAATCGATTTGTCGTGCTATCAATGATCAATATTCGTTTTATCGTCATTGTTGCATAATTATAGAAAGATACTGTACAGTACATACTGTTATTATTAAATAATTAAATTTTTGTTCCTAAGTGAAAATAATTCAATTATATAATTAAATTAAAAAGTCTACAAAAAATTTTTTAAATATTTTTTTGCATGTAATAGTATTTACGAAAAAATTGTCAAAGAGTGTTAGTTATTCGCTCAATCACCGATATTACAGGGGCCACGGCGATATCTCTGATTTTGCGGTAAATATTATTACATGCAAAAAAAATATTTAATAATATATATATATACTTTTTTTATAAATAATTAACAATATTTACGGTATCTTTCAAAAGATCTACATTATAATTTCTATAATTATCCAACAATGACGATAAGACGCAATATAACGAATATTGATCATTGGTAGAAATAGTAAAATATATAACTGCAATTACAGAATCATTTGACATAAAAACCACGACAAATCGATTTCTCATATATTAAAAAAAAAAAAAAAAATTTTTTTCCCAATTCAATTCAACCCTATTATCCTTTTTAACCAAAAATCATGTCTAAAGTTGCTAGTTCCTCAAAGCTCTAACAATGAATCAGATAACGTTCCTGTCACGAAAAAAACTACAAAATTTTGCTTTGTTATCTTGTTTCCTTTTGTATTTCCTTTTTTGTTCCTTCCTTTACTTTTTATAATTTGTGCGCTCTTACCCATTTGGTTCCCGTTTGTTGGGTATAATTTTTTTACGAATAAATATATATACGTATATCAATTATACTATACTTTATTCAAAGAGTTCAAGCTAATCGGCCCGAAACGATTCAAACTCTCTTAAAGTATGAGAAAAGACCTGGTCAAGCGCAAAGCTTTTTTGGTGAGAGATAGTTTTCTTTTATGTTCTTAAATAGCATAGTGCCGAAACATGTAATGTCTTGATATAATCTATTTATAGCTCGAATCAACAAGGACTTCAGGTGGCCCTCTTCGATGCCAGATTACCTCAAAGATAGTGCCTTCCGTGACATCTCTGAAGAAGGGCCTGACTTCGATGCTGAGGTTGGGTTTAACAAAATATTCTTTTACGACGCATTTAACAGAGGTGAATTTATTGGACATGAAAACGAGTGGGTGACGGTATACGAACAGAAGGTATTAGAATACGGGCAAAGGTATGGATGATGATAAATTGACCTCCGTTCTCGACCTATGCTAAGTGCTGTTCAAATCCCTGTTGATCAGACACGTTTGCCACGTGGTCCACCGATAAAAATGTTGTACAGTTCATCGTACCAATAATGGTAACGATTACAAGGTTTGAATTATTTTATTATGAAATTTAGTATACATTCATGTAAACTTCAAGTTAATTAAATAAGTTTTTTAAATAAAGGTCAGAGATCGATCGTGTCAGAAGACCCAATGAAACTTTACTCGCTCTTCTTCCATATGATTTTATTGACCAACAAAATGTATTTGCGCGTGGTCGATACAGGTGCCCCACATACAATATTACCGTATTATGTTAAAGAACGCTTGGAAGAAAGGGATGGAGTACGTTTGAAGCATATGCCGTAGGTTATGGGGAGCCTACTAAATAACATTTTCATCTCAAATGTTTGAGGTGTCAATTGGAGACAACTACAAATGGAGCAAATGGGTACAGGCAAAATTGGAGTATGGGATAATCGTCTCGGCGATAAGGTGCAATATGCCCTTGTCGGTAATGATGTTTCGGATCTACCATGAGCCGGGTAAACCATAAAAAATTTTAGACGCTGAAGACGAAAGTAGACTAACTGGATTTATGATTACCTGCCGTTAATCAAATATCCAAATAATTCAATTACCAAGAGTTTGGCGGTAGGAACATTTAACTAGTAAGTTATGTTGAAAACAGGCAAATAGGCGCCCAACACCAATGGTGTCAACCTTTGTAAGATTAGCGTGACTTTAACGGCAAACCATGCTTAAGGTTAAATTAGTCATTTTGCAGAATAGTATTTCATGTTCGCTTTTTAAATTTGGTCTATTGGCTATGGTTAAATATTCGTAATTATTAATTAATCTTATGTAAAATAAATAAAGAAACAGTGATGCGTTATATTATCCTTAAAGAAATATCCTCACGCGCTGAAATTTTTTAATTTTGCGACATATAATACATAACAAAAGCGAAATCATTAAGGTGGTTTTCCCTGTCATTTATCGACAAAGTTCTCCTCTCTCATTCCCCGGAATATACATATCTTCCCAGTGCGAAAAAATTTTTTTCCCCTGCATTAGCGAATGAATTCCATTCTACTGCCCTTACACGAGACTATTAGCGATTGCATAATGACGTTCTTACTTGGATCTCGTATCTAATTCCTTCTCCCCAAAATTTTTTTTTCTTTAGATATTATGGAAATCAGATATTTTCGATCCAAAATGCAAAAACATGAATCATAAAGTTTTTCTTTAATGTATTTTTTGAAATAAATCAAATTCTATTTAAAAAACGTCGATTTGAAATTATCTTATAAAAATATATAAAGAATTTTACTTGAACAACGCACCATACAATTTAAAATCTTTTTCTTTAATAATTGTAACTACACTTTTTTTTTTAAAAAAAAACTCGCATTCAGATGCTGCGTCTCATAACACGTAAAATAAAAATGCTACAAATTGTCATTAGATTAAAGAAATTTGTATTAACCTTTCACAACATCTTCACGAGTTGTAACTTTTAACGGTCAATTAATCGTTTTCGCAGGCTAATTGAATTTGAAATATTTGTATTTTTTCATTCGTAGAACAATTTATAGCTTTAAATATCATTATATATATCTCATTGGATTTTGGATAAATCAATTCTTTTCTCTCCAATAAAAGTTTCATACATATTGGTAGAACACAATTAACATTAAAAAAAGAAAAGGTATAATATTTATTAGTATATAATCTCCACTAAATGTTATGCGGGTATAAATAATTAAATCATGTGATATGAATTGACATGTGATTATTAATCATTCATTTTTTTTTTTTAATATGGATCATAAACCATTTTAATTTTATTATGAAACATGTCAATTTACACCTTGAACCCACGAGAAGCTCTACGACCACGAGCCTTTTCGAATTTTCTTCCTTTAGATCTGACGTAAGGTCTATATTGGAAAAAAAAAAATTCACATGAATAAATTCATCAAATCAAATTAATTCAATCAAATAGAATTTTTTTGACTTACTTTTTATTTTTATGTGGACCCATACCAAAATGTTTAACAGATTCTCTGGCACTTTTTGGACCTCTAAGTAAGACGGTATTAGAACCAGTTGGAGCGCGAAGAGCTAATTGGTCTAGAGTTAAAACTTCACCACCAGCTTTTAAAATTCTCTCTTTAGCCGATTTTGTAATCCGAAGTGCTGCAACAGTGATTTTTGGTACTTCTAATACTCTCTTATCATCTGTAACTGTACCAACAACTACAGCTGTTTTATCAGTTTTATCAGAAAGATTACGAACAATACGAGAAATCGACATGGGAGGTCTGTTAACTCGTGACATAAAAAGTCTTTTCAGAATCACTCTATTAAAACTGGCATCTGTTCTTCTTGCTAGGAATCGGTATACCTAAATTTTTTAAATTAAATTAATCATCAAATCATGGATTTATCCTTCAATACGTAAAAAAAAATCGATGAAATCATACCTTCACCAACAATCGAAGGTAGACATCCTCACTTTTCGGCGCAGTTCGATTCCTCTTTCTCACGTGATGTTTTTTGATGTCAATACCCTAAACGAACGCAATTGGGATAATTCGTTAAATTATTCAAAATTCTTAAGATTAAACTCAGAAAAAGTGGTATTCTCTATTGTTTAAATCGATCAAAGTAGAAAAAAAATAAAATCTAACACGAAAATCTATTGAAATAATGTCGAAAATATTCCACAAATTTTTTATATTTTTTTTAGGAAAAAAAAAAAAAATTCTAATACACATCCATCGAGTCATTGGATAAATATATTTTTTTTGCCATCCAAATAAATTAATGACCGTGAGGAAAATGCATGGTAATAAAAAAAAGAAAAGAAAAGAAAACACACCATTTCGATTAACTGATTTACTCGTTGAAAAAAAAAAAAGAGGAGGAAATAAATGTGTGCTTACTATTTTTTTTTTCTTATGCCTTTCGAGATCAAAATCATATGATTCGTGCCACAAATTACGCAATTATTCAACGTGATCTTAAATGATCTAATATATGTAGACTAAAAAAAGGTTTCATGGTTTTTTTAATTTCTCGGCCATGGATCACTTTAGTCAAGGAAACATTAATTATCCTCCTCAACCAAGAAGCGATGCGTTTAGTGATCCAACTACGCAAACTCTGTAATTCTCTTATGTCCTTTTGTTATCTTCATGTAGTATATGTAGTATATTAATCTTTATTTATTAGAAACCCAATAGTGGTTGGTTCTTCGGTACTTGCAATTAAGTATAAGGACGGTGTAATGTTAGCCGCAGATACATTAGGTTTGTTCAATTCTGCATAGAATCTCGAATTCTTTTTTCTTTTGAAATTTAAGCAAAATTTTTTTTTTTTGTTTTAGCGTCATTTGGATCACTTGCTCGGTTTAGAGATTGTGAACGGCTCTATCGCGTCGGTGACTTCACAGTACTTGGTGCTTCAGGAGACATTTCTGATTTTCAATATACCACACATCTTTTAGATACTTTGGTGTAAGTTTAATTCATATATATATATATATATGTTGAGACGAATTCTCAAATTGAACTTTTATAGGGTTGAAGAATATTATACAAATGACGGTCATGTCCTTAAACCACCGAATATCTACGAATATTTAAGTCGCCTGACGTATGGCAAACGGAACAAATTTGATCCTTTATTGAATTCTTATGTTATTGGAGGTTTTGATGGTGGAGAAGGGTAAGAAAATTCTTCCAAAGCTGATTATAATGGTAGAAATTTTAGATTTATAAAATACATATTTTAATAAAACAAGGTTTCTTGGATATGTTGGACACCTTGGAACATCTTACCAATCTTCAACGATCGCGACTGGCATTGGAGCTCATATAGCTCAACCAATTTTACGTAAGGTTGTTGAAGGTAGAGAGAATACAATTACTGAAGAGGAAGCCATTCAAGTTCTCGAAGATTGTGAAAAAATTTTATATTGCAGGGATGGGAGAAGTCTAAACTATGTGAGTAAAAAAATTATACGCATTCTCTTTGATAAGACTTTATACTGATGTAAATTCTAACTTTTAATTAGTATCAACGTGCAAAAATTACCGCTCAAGGCGTAGAAATCAGTGGACCTCATAAAGTGGAGGGAGACTGGCAATACGGTGTAAAATTTGGCAAATATGGTAATTTTAAGTAGATAAGAGAAACATTGTTACATTAATCATAAAAATTTTATGATATTAAATAAAGATGTTAATTTTAAATTATCAAAACCGAAATTATTATAATTTATATTTTACAAAATTTAACAAGATTGAGATAGAGATTTTAACCTTTCAATTTCACCTTTAAGAATATCCAACGTAAATTTTTCATAATCAATTAACTCCATTTCTTCTTCGGCCATTCTTTTAACTTGCCACCAACATTGATCCGTTTCTCTGAAACCTTTCAAAAATAAATCTTCCTCGCTTTCTTTTTCATGCGTTCCAGCTAAAACTTGTAATGACCTTAACCATTGAGATTCATAATGATCCTTTTCTCTTCTTGTCGTATCTAATTGAATTTTAAGGTCATTAACTTCTTGTTGTAAATTTTTAACAAAATCTTCATTTATTACAGAAGAATTTCGATTTTCTAATTCTTTTGTCCTTTGATCAAATTGTCTATCTAATTCTAACCATCGTCTTTCAAAATCCTTTTCGGATCTTAATAAACTTTCATCCCTTGTTTTAAAATAAATGATATATTGTTGCAATTTAAAATCTATAGATTTTAATTGTTGTACTTTAAATTTGCTAAAACTTTGACCGGGTCCATTCTTCTTCTTCTTTACGGCAAGTACTTCTTGAGTGTATTTCATATGTTCTGCCGCTTTTCTAAATAAATCCGATTGAAACGTTGAAATATGTTCATTATTATTATTAGAGGAAGAATTATTTCCGTTTCCATCATCATTTGCTAATGATTTCGTTGTAACATCATCCTTTTCCTTTGCCGGTTCTTCTTTAGCGGGTTGAAATTCTTTAGTGAGTTCGGATAATTCCGTGACACTTTGTGATTTTGTCGAATCACCAAAATCATCAAGCCTTATTGAAACACTTATGTGACCCGTTTCACGTGAATTTGCAGATACTCCGATAGATTTAATAGGGGCCAAGGTAGTAAAAGTTTTAACCTCGGCTCTAGTTTCATCATCTATTACAGGTTGAGATAGAAATACTTCTTCTAAACGTAACGTGGCAACTCCGATTTGAGACTGCTTTTGATCTACGGATTGCCATATTTCCATAAGCAAAGGTACGGCCTCAAAATATTTATTAAGTCTCTGTGGTGTCATCATAACCTCAATAGAGTTTGTACTATTCATTAATAAAATATCTTTACCTACTTCAACATTTGAAAGTATTTGAGTTGATTTATTATTAGTAATACCTAAAGCGGGATAATTATACCTAATGTAAATATTTTTAATATTCCTATTTAATTGAATTGATTCTAAATCGATTAATACCCGATATTTATGTTCATTATTTTGTTCCCGAATTGGTGGTGGTTGTTCCTTTTCTTGTACATTTTCAATCGGGAAAGATTTTGTTCTCTCTACGGCATCAGGAGATGTGGTATCATTATTCTCATTGGAATTATCTCTACTTATTGTAAGGTAAACACCAATTCTAGCGGTTTGCACATCGGCTGATACAGGTAACTCTCTTTTGGAATTATACATCGGACATACTCGATCTAAAGAACGTGGTTCCCCGGTTTTATAATCGAATAATCCCGTGAGTGGAATTTCCGCAAATCCAATCATTTGATTATCATGATATAAATTTATCACAACGTTCGATTCTTTAATTAAAAAAGATTTTAATTCTTCTAATGAGGATTGTATTCTAAATGTAAAGGTTTCAGGATTGATATTTGGATGTGAAAGATCATAAAATTTGTTCGAAGTTATCACACTTTCAAATACGGTATATTGAAAATAATATCCGTGATTTAATGTTGAAAGGTCAAGTTCAGGAAATTGTTGTTGCGTGAGAAATGATATTGTATCTTGTAATAATAATTGTAAATTAGCTCCGAAATTAATTGTGATAGAAAAAAGGAAGATTTCCGTTCCATTCATTCCAATTTTATATAAATCAACCACTTCAGAAGTCGTTCCTCCATTTTCTTCCATTTCTTCGAATTCACCAACGGAAAATGATTTTCCTAATGGACTTGGGGTATAACTATTATTACAATTGGGTGAAATTACGGATGATGATAAATTTGGTAAGATACAAAAGGAGATTTTAATTTCTGGCAAAACTTTCCCTTTCACTTTTGTATTGTTAAGTGATATCCATTTCTCTTTACCACTTCGATCACTTGCCATCCTTAAATCTAACATCGAATATCCTATCAACTCTCCTCTATTATATCCATTACCTTTCGTATTATCTACCGAAAAACCTTGTAATTTTAAGTGCGCCCATTTCGTTCTTAATAAATGTAAGGTCTTTTGATCCACTTCCCATGCTAATTCTGTATCCCATATTGGAAAAGATACTTGTTCTACACTATCCGTCGATAATATTGAATTGGAATCTGGACTGATTGTTGAAAGAATCTCATCCGTGAATCTACATTCTATGTAAAGTTTTCCGTTCGGATTTTGAGGGAAATATCGACCTATTTATTCGATTCCACGGGAGAAAAAATAAAATTTAATGATTTCTTAATTAAAAATAAAAATAAAAATAAAGAAATAAATTAAAAAGTTTTAAAAGTTTTAAAAATAAAAAACTAACCCTCTATAACTGTAACAACAATTGTACATAAAGGATTATTAAATTTCGACATTTTAGAAAAAAAACGATTCGAGTGAATTCTTATTTTTCCCTTTGTTAGTCAAACATATTTTTTGTGATATGCAAGTTCATGCATGTTCATGTGAATTCTATCATTGGATATTAGCATCAACTTAGATTCATTATATTATTAAAAATTTAAAGTTGAATCTATTTTATTTGAATTAAAAATTTAGTATAGATTTATTAATTTTAATTAAAGAAAATTTTTCATAAACCTATTATTTATAAATAATATAAACATTTTATAATAAAAAAAAAAACTATCAAAAAAAAAATTTTTTACTTTAGTAAAATAAGATCAGATTTTTTAACATTAACTCAAAAAAAATTGTTTTTAAAGTTTTCTTTCTTTTTACTGCAAAGTTCATATATTTATTTGAAATTATAAAATTTATATTATCTATTTTTTTATTATAGATAATTATTTTACTTATAATTTTTTAATTAAATTTTTTTAATAACAGTTATTTATATCTTTTTTATAATAAAATTATTATGCAACTTATACTTTAACGTAAAATAAACTTTTATGAATTACTGTATGACTAGTATAATATAATTATATATTTTATATGTTTTATTAATAATAATTATATTGATATAATTATTTTTGATCATAATATAATAATTTATTAATAGCTTTTAAAAATACAATGTAAATAAATAATATAAAATCATATAATTAATTTAACAAATTTTTTATATTACAGTTAGATCTCTTAAAATAATTCAAATAAAGTGATAATTATATAAAGGTGTAACTATAATTATTGAACCTTTATACAATCACTATTATATAATAAATTATATGAAGTGACTATATAAAGTTTATCTTATATAAAATTATTTTATTAACCATTTATTTAATATATATATTAAAATTATTAAACTGTTAATAAATATATTAATATGCTAATTGAATGCTAAATATATTAATTTTCACAAATATTAAAAAAATAGTTTATAGAAATTTGATAAGTTCAAGTTGTTGTATAATATTAAAATATTTTTTAAATACTTGCATATTAATGATTATCATATTTATTTAATACTTTAAAATTTCTTTATAATATTATTAAATCTCTTTAAATACATATCTTTAAAATTATAATAAAAAGTAAATGTATATTTAGAGAAAAAAATTTATTATATAATTTCTATATATTTAAAATTAAATAAAAATATGTATTTGAAGAAAAAATATATAATATATATATTTAAAGAAAATGCATTAAGATAGATTTGATTATATTATATAAATAAAATTTATAATTTTTTTTATATTAATTTTTTTCTTAATAAAATTTAATTATAATTAAATAATATATTAATAATTCAAATAAAAGATATTTGATAGATTCAAAAATATTAAAATATTTTTTAATTATCCTAATTTATTTATTTTTAATTTTTATAAGAAAATAATATTTCTAAAACTATAGGGATTTCCTATAAATACTAATACCATCTGTAACATCAAGAATAAGATTAATTTTATTGTCACTTATATTTATATCAATTTCCTTATCAGCTTTCTCAGCTTTTTCATTTATATTAAAAAAATAGAATTAATATTTAGTAATATTAACATAATAAAACAAGAGTGTATAAAAAGCTTTGAAATTTTATTTTTTGCATTTATTACGTAAGAATACGAGAAAATTTAACAAAAAATCCGTTAAATCAATAAATTCTAATGAGAAAATTTGGTGAAAAATCCTTTAAGAATAGGATTTATTCTTATATGATAAATATAATGATTATATAGTAAAAATTTTTTGTTAATTACATATAGATTAGTCATATGATATAATTAATACAATTAATTAATTATAATACCATATATCATTTATTTAGTGATTTTTATTAGATATTTTTAATTTTCTATATTAGTTTTCGTTAATGCGTCTTCAATAAAACCTAAAATGAATATACTACAAGAATAATTTGACCTGTCAAAGATCTATTCAATATAATATCTTCTTTAACTATTTTGCATAAAATCAAATTATCCAACAATAAAAACGCATTATCTTTAGTTTTTCAATTTCCTTGTAAATTTTTCTTAATATATTGCCAAATAACTAAAATGACTTTTTTACATCTTTCGCCTATGATTGTCTAAATATATTTACAACATTATTTTTAGTTATTTATTATTATTTCTCTATTTTAGTAATTACATTTATAATTTTTTTTTAAATTTTTTTCTTTCTCCCTTTTGCAAAAATGCCCAAAAAAACAGAAAGAAAGAATACCAACCGCGGCCGCTCGGCGTCGCCAATATCAGACAAAATACCAA